TTCCTCATGTGTGGTCTGCCAGGCTCTTACCTTCTTTAATAGAAGGTGCTCATTACATGACATGTTGTGGAGGCATCATTAAGGTAAAGTTTCTTTAATTCATTTTATTTCATAATAAATTGTACTTGAGAGTATTAAAGACATCTCAAATTTCAGCGAGTAAGAACTTTGCTGCTAAACTGCATAGAATCCTATATAGGAGACTTATGTACTTGTAAAGAGTGAACAGCCCTTTGAATTGGGAAAAAATATATATTACTAGCCCTTTTTTTCATGGTGATAAGCATTTCTTGTTTATTTGTGTATTAAAGACCAATAGCTGAGTAGTGTATTGTAACCACGCTCACAACAGCTGACAGTGTAAGTTTATAGAAAACCGTACGTTATCAGTCTCTGTATTTTAAATGTTCTTTAAATGACTTTTCTGAGCCATGGGTAGAATCACAGAATATTTCAGTTTGGAAGGGACCTCAGGAGGTCTCTAGTTCAACCTCCTGCTCAAATCAAATTCAGCTGTGAGGTCAGACCAGGTTGCTCAGCATTTTTTTTCAGCTGGATCCTGTAAATTTCCAAGAATGGGCACTATATAACAAATCTGGGTCATCTGTGCCACTTCTTGACTGTCACCAGCGTGAAAAAAATTCTCCTTATGGCCAATCTGAACCTCTCTTCTTTCAAATCAAGCCTCTTGTTCTCCTACCATATACCTAAGTGAAGAGTCTGTTTAGGGTCCTTGGAAACTGACAGTTGGATTCCCAGTTCCTGCTTTTTTTTTTCTTTTTTGGCCTTTTTTTTTTCACTCTCTCTCTGTAGGATTTAGGTATCCAAATGTTTTGTTTTTTTTCTTGTGCATACCTCAAGAATATATGCTTATTAGTGTCCGTATGCAGGTCTATACTATTCTGTACTTAGGCAAGTCTTCTTTCAACCTCACATCTCTGGCATTTAGATAGACTTTGCAGGCTGGAGAAAACATCAAGGGCAGGATATATGATGTAAAGTGAGATTCTAGTCAGGTTTCCATATTTCTTGTGCATTATTTTGATGTAGTCAACCTGCTATGCAAAGAAGTGTGACACATGCTTCTATAGGTTGTAATGGAAACCTAGCAAGTGTGCCATGTCTTTTATTATAAACTGGGTATCAACAAACTAAGAAGCAGTACTAGATGGAGTAGTAAGGTCTTTTCTCTGCCTTTTGTGTTCTCTTGCATTTGCTTTCTGTAATGCTAATATACATGAGATGCTTATATCTCCAACCACTTGTAAAATATGATGTAGATAAAGGATAGGTGGGAGCTTGTCAGCTCCTATCAACACCCTAAAACTACAGGGCAAAGCACAATAAATGCAGTTGTGATTCCTCTTCTCAGATGATAACTCAAACTCTCACTGCTGAGAAATGTCAGCAAAAATGTTAGGAGGGCATGAGGCATTTCCATGTTACACAGTGTCTTCCTCTAGTTAAACAGGTATACATAGCTGTTTGCATCACACAGTAATTAGGATTTAAGGGAAAAAAAAAATTGAAGGGGAACAGAAGACAACAGTGTGTTTAGATATTGCTGCCTTAAACATAATGTTGTACATTGCACTGCTCTGTCATCTGCAAAGCTGCTATTTAATAGCAGGTTAATTACAGCCCAAAGTCCAAGTTGAAAGTAAAAAACAAAACAAAACAAAAAACAGTCAGTCAGGGGAAATGTATGTGTTCAATTCCGTACCATTTTATTTCTTTCCTCATAATAGTGTTTTTCCTATTCTTGAATGAAGGAACTCCCTCTGGTGGCTAATTTGCTGTCTCAATTTCAGTCTTTTTGTGTGGAGGATGCATGCAAGCAGCTGGCCAGAAGAACTGATACAGTAATAAACCGGTGCTTTTATTAGGCTAGTTCAGTGTTTTGTGTTCTGAATACTGAGGGCATAGATAAAGCCTGTCCATTCGACGGGGTTTAAAAATAATATCCATTCATTGTGGGTGGGGGAGGGAGGGGTGGAAAATACTGCTGAAAATAGTATTTCTGGAAAAGAGCCTAAAATATTCCCTTTTAATCAGGTAAACAGTCTGTTGTCTTCAGTGATCTGCTATTTTAAAGCACATGCACATTCACAGAAGATAAATCAATAAAGGGTCAAACTAACTCTTGTTAATTTGTCCTGTCCCACTGCAGGTTTTTCAAGTTGGAAACATTTCTTCTGATCATATAGAGCTCAGCCTGAGTCAGAACAATAGATGTTATTGATGCCTCTTAGCCCATGGGCAGTGCCTATGTGCTGGACAGAGCTCTCCACTCCTCAAGGCAGAACTTCTTTTGGATTTAGGTCTCTCTTATCTGTCCATGCTCATCTACACATTTTTATAGAACATTTGTGGTTAGCATATTTACTTATTATCAGTAATATTTTGTTACAGAGCAGATAAACACAAGTGGAAATGGCTGGTTTGTAAGTTTATATACTGCAATACCTGGTAACCTTTATGCCTTGCAAAGAATAGTAGCATCTAGGGCTAAATGTCAGAACTGTGGAAGTAGGGATGACAGTGTCTACACTTCTTCAGAAGGAGTACGAGTTGGTTTGGTGTGTTTGGAAGAGGTTGAGAGAGCTGTGGTGATTCATTTTGCTTCCTCTTGTAACCTCAGCAACCAGATGGCAGCATGGCCCAGCCAGGTGCCTATTCTTTGTCCAAGAATGGAATCTGGAAAAGGACCCAGTTCCCTTGGCTCAGGGCTTGCAAAATTAGGCCAGTGCTAATTTTAGAGGCCAATGCTAATTTTAGTGGCCAGTCCTATTAGCTCGAGTTGTTTACTGTTGTCTTGAAAAGGAGCCCTCCGTTACCATATAACCTTGAAGTAACCATCTACCCCAGAAGACATCTAATTGCGTTGACTCAACAATGATATTGTAGATTATTCATCATAATTCACTAAATTGCATGTCTGCTGCAACAGTGCTTGAGAGAGAGAGAGAGAGATTTCTTCATAAATCTTATGATTTGCAGATGGGCCTGACCTGATGTTTTGAAATATCTATGTTGTAAGAGTACATTTGACACAGCTTTGAAAGTCATTAATAATTGGAAAGATTTCTTGTACCTCTAGTTATTTTTTTAATCTCTTGACTTTTCACCTATAGAAGAATTGTTGCTCTCATCTGAAACAAATTATATAGTTTGATATATGAAACACAAAGTTCAAATTTAATTTTCATATGGATGCAATTTATTTTGACGTTCATGGGACGTAGTCCTTTTTTTAACTTTATAATAAATATGACTATCCATTTCATCAGCATAACATGACCATTTATATTAATATATTTCAGAATGAAGAAAAATGCCTTTCATTCTTTCCTAACCAAATGTTCCAGTGACCTCCGTATTCTCAAGCCTCACATTTTTTCAGGCTACTTTCAGTCTACTGCTGAAGAAACTAGGGTCCTGCTTTTAAAAGGACAAGAACAAAAACTTTTATGAGTTGTCTTTCTTGCATTTGTTTAAATACTAAAGTCTCGTTAGTCCATCTTCTAAGAGGCTACAGGATTTTTTTTACAAAATTAAGTAGAAATTTATTTCATGATAGGACTGACTTCTGCCGTTTTCATGAATGAAAGTAAATATTGTACTCATTTGGTAGTACTTGTAGGTTTAAGATCTTTAATACTTTTAGGAAAAGAATCACAAACAGTCATTGATATGTTAGATTTTTTTTTCTTTTCTGGCAGCCATTCTGGCATTTCTGTCTCATTCTCTTGAATTCAGAGCCCTTAGCAAAATAGATTGTATTTTACATATACAGCTTTACATTTATTAATCCTCTTACAATTCATTACAAATGAATTTGTACTTCGACACCCCAGAGGGCTGTGCTGCCATCCAGAGGGACCTGGACAGACTGGACAACTGGGCGGTGAAAAACCTGATGAAATTCAACAAGGCCAAGTGCAAGGTCTTGCACCTGGGGAGACATAACCCCGGACACCAGTACAGGCTGGGGACTGACCTTCTGGAGAGCAGCTCTGCGGAGAAAGACCTGGGTGTCATGGTGGACAACAAGTTGACCATGAGGCAGCAGTGTGCCCTCGTGGCCAAGAAGGCCAGTGGGATCCTGGGGTGCATTAAGAATCATCTACATTTTGGGGCTTATTTTAAATGTGAGAATGGTGGAATCTTTTGAGCAGCAAATTTCAGAGAAAAAGGAGACCCTCTTTTGTTTTATTAGGTTTTTGCTTATGTTTTTTTGATTTCTCTTCCTGTGTGTCACTTCTTCAACTCTCTGTGTTTTTTTCCACGTGATGAATTAAGCTTACAATTCCCAAAACGACCGTTTGGATAATGACACTTTTTCCTGCTTGGGTTTCTTCAAGGGTGCTGCGAAAGAAAGGTGTCACCCAGTGCATGAAGATCAATCACAGCTGAAAATAAAGGTGTGTAACTTAGCTTTGGCTGTAGGACCGTATAGCTTTTAACCTATAAAATAGGTTGTATAGCCTATAAAATACAAAAATAACACATTTCTTTTGCTTAAGAGCAACCTACCAGCATGGACTCTAAGACCCTAGAATGGGAAACAGAAATAGTACCTTTGCCAGAAGAAGAGAGCCTAGGCTGTAGAAAGCGAAAATGCTTATTTGTTTGTTGGCCTTACTAAGCAACACATGCAAAATAGCATAGTTGAAAAGAAAGAACCTTTTTCAGTGTAGATATGTAGAGCTGTCAACAGCCCTCTATGTAGTTCAGTTAGGCCATAAGTTCACTTAAAACATAAAATAAGTTTGACTTAGAAAATTAACTCTACTTTTCTTCATGCCTACTCTAAGACCCGAAAGGATCGTCAGGCCCTGAACTGAAAGTTGCATAGAAGTCATCCCTGAGGAATCACATGATTCATCTCAGCTTTTAAGGCGGATCTTTAATTAAGGGAGTCACTCTTAGTCGCACAGGGAAGGCTCTGCAATCCTTTCTCCTAGAAGGAGGAGGAGGGAACAGATGTAGAGCCAGACATGTCTTTCATTTTTGCTTTTTTGCTGGTTTTCCTGGCTGGCTGTTCCGCTTGTCGGCATCACACATGTCAATGCTTAGGCAGGATATTCATTTGTCAGGAGAGCAAGGTGATCCAGATTCCTCGGGACATTCCCAAGAACTCCACTGAACTGTAAGTAGGCAGAAGGAATGGTTGCAAGCAGCAGCTTTGTTGTTGTCTTTTAAAATAAACTTTTTGTTTGGCTTGTTTGGCAAGCCAAGAATAAATTTTGTAGGGATTTACTCAGGAGACTTGTACCAGCTGTTTGAAAAGCACAACACTTCCTCTGACATTCATTAAATTACAGCTTGAAGTGTCCTTCCATTGCTGTTATGTTCATTTTAAGATCTCTGTTAAGAAAAGATATGTTATTTTATAATGCAAAGTATAGACTAAACTTAAAACAAGTCTCCTTCGTACTGTGACAGTAATTTGAAGCATAAAGTCTGAGTTTTCTTTACAGCTTGCTTTAGCGTTATTGAAACATGTAGCACAACTTGTCTGCCCTGAACAACTTGATGAGTGTTTCTGTTCGTACCGCAGGAACTTGCCAAAGGCTTGTATTTATTTGTCAGGGAGGATTTTTTTTGTTTGTTTTCATTTGAAATGATGAAGACTTGGAAAAAAAAAAAGAGAGAGAGAGAGAAAGAAAAAAAAAAGAGAGAGAGATAAGGATTCAGAGTGTGATTCTCCTGTATCAAGGGAGCTGGATGACTGCATTTGGTGAGAATGAACAATATAAAGATACAGTTACTTGAGGAAGAATTTTATCTATCTAAAAGCTTCTCTTTGTCTTCAGTATAGTAATCTGAAGAATGTTGCATGGCAGCTGTTTTCCATGCTAGTAATGCAGGTTAGTAATAGAATTCACGCAATGTTAACTACATAACAGTCCAAGTGATTGTTTAACTATGTATTTTTAAGGCAAGCTATATTTTGTACACTGATAGGTATTTAACAGCATTAAGACCTAAAGCGAAATGAAAGCAGCAGACTTGCATAAACCTTTTTATTACAATTGGAGAAACAAGTTCAGAGAGAGGATACAAGGAGTAATGCTATGTCACTGGTTTGAAGAATGTGTCACTAGCCTGATATTACAGACCACAGAGCTATAATATGCTACAGTTTTTTCTAATGGAGAAGTTCCCTTTGAGAATTGTACTCACTAAATAAATAGAATAAGTAGACTGGTGGAAACTTCAGAATAATGTCTGAATTAACAGTAGAGGGTCAGTGAAAGTATAAACCCATCTTACAACTGGAGGGAAAAATAATCTATTTATGATTTAGGTCATCTAAATCTGAGTTACTAATGCTCCAGGCATATACTGCTCATTTCGTTTAGTTTTGCTTTGATTGTTTCCTTAGATTTCACAGTTAAGGTTTGCTTTCAAAGGATTAAGCAAAATCATTTTACAGTTATTTCTGAGAAGAAGTTTTATATCACCAAAAAGCACCTGTTAATAAGTAGAATTTGTCTGCAGTAGATATTTGTTAACTTTTCAAGGGTGTTTTGAGGTTTCTTATTAGCAGGTTTCTCAGTATAACTGTGTATTCCCTGAAACTGCAGGCTAGGACTTCAGTGTGCCTGTAAACAGGAAGTGATTCTTTTTTTCTTTAAGTGTAATGTAAGTATTACTCTTAGAAAAGAATCAACTGAAGAGATTCTAATTTACACCAATTTTTGATTCTTTACAAGATAGATAGTCCTGGGGTTGATTTCATTATTGTTAAAGAATTTGTCCCTAAAAACTCAGTGATGTTACCTCCAACATAGCAGCTGTTAAGGAGAATAAAGCGTGATGTATTAGCTGACAAGTTAAGTGTTGGATAAGCCTTAGATTTTCATTCAAGGGCAAAAGAGGTGCTAGGAAAAGGTGCCTTCCTGTAGGCACAGCTGCAGGCTGAAGGTCCATGGGTTGATTCAGCTGATGAACAATAAACTTCACTGCTCCAACTGCTAGTGCAAATGCTCAGCTGGCAACAGAGAATAAACTCTGTGTGTCTTCAAAAAAAAAAAAAACCCAAAGAATTACAAGGCCTGTAAAACCAGTGTAACTGCTTGGGCCTAGATGGCCACAGTATCTAATGATCTTGCATAGGACACAAGCATGGGCTTATTCCTACTATATAAGCACAGCTCCTATATGATGTTTCTTTCATTTAGGAAATAATTTTGAGAGGGTGCTGGATGCTGTAGTCTATTTACCTTTGAGGAGATGGTTCCTCTCAGTAGGCTCTTCAGCTTCTCTGTGTGTCCTTGATATCTTTAGATGTTGAATAATACATAGCTGAAAGCTTTGGGGAGAGAGCAGGAACCTGATAGACTTCAAGAATTCCTGGGGGTGGGCTTGGAGTGAGCGATTCTCTCTTTCTGTGTCTTCCCGTCTCATCACGGCTGTTTCTTAGGTGAGTGCAATCGTACCTGGCACCCAGTTGGGTGACTTATGGAGAAAAGTCAGGACAAAGGCAAAAACATCGTCTGTGCAGACCAATCAACTGTTATCTCTGTTTTTTGCCAGGAACTTTTAAGATTAATGTATGTGGCCTCAAGGGCCAATGACACATACTGCCAGGATCTTCTTTGTAAACGGCATGCTGCCAGTGAGAGCTTACACTGGGCAGTTAGTGTGAGCTTTGTTGCATGGTACAAGAGCTGGGATTTCTTCATCTAGTTGGATTAGCATTAGCGCTTGTGTCAGAGCGGAAGGGCCTGGCAGTCTCATTTTGAGTGATTCCTGGCTGTACTTTCCCTGTTGTAACAGAGAGGGATCAGAAACAACAGGGTTTCATTCCTATTCTTCCTATCACATCTATGCCTCAGTGTGCAGGCCAGCATCTAGGAAGGAATGCTGTACTTCTGTGTCTGTTGGTACCTGTGGACTTGAGAAGACTGTGATTGGCACACTCTGGAGGTTTTCAGAAGAAGACTGTGGCGATCAGGTGTTTTGTTTTATAAAAATGGTCTGGAAGAAGAGTTGGATAGAAGTATTTTTGGTGTTTCTTGTAGTTACTGAAAAGTCCCTGAGGAATAAAGATGGCTTTGATCAGTATTCTGGAGGTTTCCCATGGCAGAAGATTCAGGCCAAAGGGAAAAAATTCAAATGGGGAGCTTGGACTCATTGAGTCAGTTTTAACTATTCATCACCTCACAAAGTCAGCAAGTAGGGAAATAAGTGAGCCAGCAAGCAAGTAGTAACTGTGTAGTCCTTGAAGACTTAAAAGCTATTCTTAAAATTCGATATAAGGCTTTGTAATCCATCCTTCTGGTTATTTACTAAGAATTCATTTAGTCTCTGGAGATTAAATGGATCTGTTGAGCAGTTGGTACGTGGCTGATTCCAGGCAGAGTAGAGATGCTGTAAGAAGCTTCTCTAGAGCATGGAGACTCCTCAAAGTAAAGCTTTATAAACTTAGATTTGTGACTTAGTGAATTTTTTTTTAAAAAATCCTTTATCAGCCTTTTTATGAAAATTTGCTTAACTTATTAGCATGTCAGAAAGGAACAACCAGGGTGATTTAAAATACTGCGGGGGAGATGGTCTACATTTTGGGCACCTGCTCAAAATTCTAACAGAGAGAGAAAACTACAAGTAGAATAAATAAAACTTGATCCCACAGAGCTTTATATTTTAGAAACCATTCTCCAGCTTCACTAACTGGTTAGTCACTTATATAGCAGTTTAAAAGTATATTATTTAGAATGTTTTATCCCAAGTGTCTACAAACTATAAACACTATTTTTTTTCTTGCCCACTGCATAGGTGTTTTTGTTCAATTGCTCAAGGATATTTATTTTAGACTATCAAGGTAAGGCTAAGTAGATGTCTGAACACTGAAATGGTAGCTGCGTGGAAATAGCAAATTCTGTGTTATGCATTAAATGAGTTAGTCGTGCTTTCCTAAAAAATAAACTGTAAGTGATGTGAGTGGTAACAGCAACACGATTATTGACAAAGAGCATAGAGAGGATAAAATAATAAAATGAAGATCCCTGAAGCTTTCAAGTTTGGATGCCTGTATTCTGGTTAGTTATGTAGCTAAACAGTAAATTCATGTCTTACCCCAGCTTGATGCCTTTCTCTGGGACCAGCTACAGCAAACCTCTCTTACGGTACCCATACTTCTACAAGTTACAACTTTTTCAATGGCCATCTGGTCCCACATGCAGAGAAACTCTTCTATTTTTCCCTTTTTTATAAGCTAGGAGCATTAAACAATAAAATTATTCATGAGATGTAAGATGGTAAATGCCAAGATTTAGTGCAGAGCCACATCAAGAGAGAAAGCCTGTAAGATCAGAAATAAGTAGATCTTAATCTAAAATGTGGTTAAAATGGAGAAGTTAAGCTTAGGAGACATTAGAAAGCAGTACAGAACTAAATCTCCTATTTCTCTGATAAGAATATGAATCACAAAACAGACTGGAGGTGTCATGAATTCACTACTGTTACGCAGCAGTTAATTTTTCTTTGCCCTGAAAGGTATGCCACGCAAAACTCTTCAGTGGTATAGATCATTTCCTAGCTTAATTTACTTCCCTTACTATGACTTCATACAACTCATCGATTTTCACTGTATGGTATTAAAACACTATAACTCTGAGGTTTGTTGCCTTTTCTTTTCTAACACTGGATTGTAATAAGTTCATCTCTCTTATCTCCAAGGCAGGCCAAGAATCTTATTGATATCCAAATGTGGTTGTGAACATTATTAGCTGGTAGAGTGGAACATAGAAATCCAGGGTAAAATTTTGAAGAATGTTGTTCTCAAGTCTGAAAGGTGTTAAGCTTCTCAGGTTGCAGTTGTTCAGCTTGGTTGACTTGCCATCTTACTCCTTATATAGGAAACTCCAGATGTTTATACAGAGGTGGATACAGGAAGATGTGTATTTGTGTCTCTCATGCTCTGATCTAACAGGACAAGCTGCTGTACTCTTAAGAGATGTGAAACCAGAACAGTTCCCCCATTCTCCATTTACCTATACAACACTTTCAACCCCTCACTAAGATTTATAAATGACATTTTAGGAATGACACTTAATCAGTTAATCTCTTATATCTAGCCCTTAGCAAAGCCATATCAGCATTGAAGTATAGGAAAATACTCAAAATCCAGGCCAGGCTGTT